CTCTCTCTCTCTCTCTCTCTCTCTCTCTCTCTCTCTCTCCATCTCTCTCCTTTTTTTTTCTTATGCACAGATTTCTTGTTTTCTCTTCCACCTCTTTTTCTCCTTCCTTCCCTCCTCCCTCCTCCCTTCCTTCCTTCTCTTACCCTCACCTCTTTTTGTCTCTCCCTCCCCTCCTTCCGTCTCTCCCTCCCTCCACTTTCTCTCTCTCTCCCTCCTTCCTTCGTCTCTCCTTCTCTCCTTCAAGTACACTTCAACCACAGGTATCCAACCAACACGAAATGTCACGGGTCAACTTTCCCTCCTCTCTCCTTCTCTCTCTCTCTCTCTCTCTCTCTCCTTTCTTTACTCCCTCACTCTACTTGCCCCTCTCTTTCCTTGCCTCCCTCCCTCCCACCCTCTCTTTCCTGCTGTCCTTCTTCTTGTCCCCTATCTTTCTTTCCTTTTCTGCCTCCCTTTCTTTCCCTCTCCTCCTTCCTTATTACCCTCCCTCTCCTTCTTTCCTCCTCATTTCTCTCCCTTTCATTCCTTCTACTTCATCTTCTCGTTCCTTCTCTCCATCTCCTCCGTCTCTCTCTCTCTCTCTCTCTCTCTCTCTCTCTCTCTCTCTCTCTCTCTCTCTCTCTCCTAAATGTCAACACGCATCATATTTCCTTGAGATAAAAACACGGAAAAAATTACCAATATTAAAACAAAAAAATTTCCTCCCAAACATAAAAAAAAATTAAATAAGAATAGATAAATAATCGATAATAAATAGGAATAATATAGATAAAAGATGTAAGGGAGATATTGAATAGTAATTGTTTTTTTAATTATTCCATCTACGTTTTTATCGTTAATTTCTCTATCTACTCTGTTATTATCGATTACTTCATTTATTTGTTTATTTTCTATTTCTTCATCTACTCTGTTTATCACCAATTACTTAATCAACTTGTTTATTTTCTGTTTCTTCATCTACTCTGTTTATTATTAATTTCTCCATCTCCTCTCTTTATCACCAATTTCTTCATCCACCCCTTTCGTCAGTAATAACCTAATAACTTTACTAATTCTCCTGTCACTTCTCCTCCTTTCTTCTACATCTGTTTCTCCCTATCCACTCGTTCTTTTCTCTCACATAATTATTCTCCTTGTCAGTTCCTCAATTCTTCACCATTCTTGCTCTTCCCTCTTTATTCCCATTTATTTGGCTTATTTTCTAATTTTCTTGGTTATTATCGTTTATTTTCTCTATTTCCTTATTCGTTTTTTATTTTCTGATGACTTTATATTTTCCTTATTTTATTTATATTTTAGTTCCTTATTTATTTATTTTCTTTTGTAATTTCTGTTCGTCTTTCTCTCTTTCTCTTATTTTCACACACACACACACACACACACACACACACACACACACACAAGCACACACACACATCCTCCCTTCTTCCTCCCTCCCGACACCCTCTCACCACCCTCCCCTCTCAACCCTCTCCCCACCCCTCCTCACCACCCCTCTCATCACCCCATTCACTCTACCCACCACCCACTCAACCACCACACCCACCACCCCAACTCTCCCTCTCACCACACTTTCACCCCTCCTGACACCCCTCTCACCACCCTTCATCACCCCTCTCATCTCCCCCCTCCAAAGGCCATTATGGACAACTGTTTACCTCAGCGTCAGAGAGGGATCACGTCGGCCAAGCATACTCTAAAAGCCAGGTTATTTACAGACACGACAAACAAACATTGTAAATAACATGTAAATGATTGTAAATGCGACGTGGGAATTGTATATGTTTAAACTGGAGGTAATTTAAACGTTGAGAGAGAGAGGGGGAGAGAAGGAGAGAGAGGAGTGAGAGAGATGATTTTGAGGTAATTTGAATATATTAGGACCATTATATTTGTTGTGATAAAAAAAATAATAAAATAATAATAATAATAATAATAATAATAATAATAATAATAATAATAATAATAATAATAATCGAAATAAAACCTTTTAAATCGTGTTTCTCTTTTTTCAATTTTATGTGTCTGTCTGTCTGTCTGTCTGTGTGTCTGTCTATCTGTCTGGGTGTATGTGTGTCTGTCTGTCACCATAGTATTTTTTGACGGTACAACCAAAGTTACCATCAAGTTGACAGGTAATACTGACAGGTGAGAGCTTGACAAATTAGCTGCTTGACACCTGTTGACGTGAGCTAACACCTTTAATAACTAATATAATCTCTCTCTCTCTCTCTCTCTTTAAAACACAGTCTCATACACAAACTCATTTATTGTACGCATAAATACACACACACACACAAAATTACTCACATCTACGTACATAAGTATTTACACACACACACACACACACACACACACACACACACACACCAAGTGCATATAACCGAACAACACCATACACCATCATACACCATCATACACCCGTCACACACCACCATACACCATCATACACCCACCATACACGACCATACACCATCATACACCATCATACACCCACCATAATAACGACCATACACCATCATACACCATCATACACCCACCATACACCATCATACACCATCATACACCCACCATACACCACATCATACTCCATCATACACCCACCATACACGACCATACACCATCATACACCATCATACACCCACCATACACCATCATACTCCATCATACACCCACCATACACCATCATACACTATCATACACCATCATAAACCCACCATACACCACAATACACTATAATACCATCATACACCCATCATACACCCACCATACACGACCATACACCATCATACACCATCATACACCCACCATACACCATCATACACCCATCATACACCCACCATACACCATCATACACCCATCATACACCCACCATACACGACCATACACCATCATACACCATCATACACCCACCATACACCATCATACTCCATCATACACCCACCATACACCATCATACACTATCATACACCATCATAAACCCACCATACACCACAATACACTATAATACACCATCATACACCATCATACACCCACCATACACCATCATACCCATCATACACCCACCATACACCATCATACACTATCATACACCATCATAAACCCACCATACACCACAATACACTATAATACACCACCATACACCATCATACACCATCATAAACCCACCATACACCACAATACACTATAATACACCATCATACACCCATCATACACCATCACGAGGGTCGGGCAGGGTTATATTACCCGTTTTACCGCGAATTAATTATGATATATTGTTTATGTTCTCAGAGACGTGTGTATGACTGTGTGTATGACTGTGCGTATGTGTGAGTGTATATGACTGTGTGTATGAATGTGTGTATGTGTGTGTATGGCTGTGTATGTGACTGTGTTTATGTGTGGGTGAATGACTGTGTGTATGACTGTGTGTATGACTATTTGTATGACTGTATGTATGACTGTGTGTATAACTGTGTGTATGTGTGTGTGTGTGTGTGTACGACTGTGTTTATGACTGTATGTATGACTGTGTGTATGACTGTGTGTATGTGTGTATGACTGTATTTATGACTGTGTGTGTGTGTGACTGTGTGTATGACTGTATTTGTTTTTTGTCAGTATTTTGTGTTTGCTGTTACCCTTATACCAGCCTTACACCACCAACCTATACCACCAACCTTACACCACCAACCTTACACCACCAGCCTTACACCAACAACCTTACACCACCAACCTTACACCACCAACCTTACACCACCAACCTTACACCACCAACCTTACACCACCAACCTTACACCACCAACCTTACACCACCAACCTTACACCACCAACCTTACACCACCAACTTACACCACCAACTTACACCACCAACCTTACACCTCCAACCTACACCACCAACATTACACCACCAACCTTACACCACCACCCTACACCACCAGCCCTACACCACCAACCACACACCACCAACCTACACCACCAACCCACACAACCAGCCCTACACCACCAACCACACACCACCAACCTACACCACCAGCCCTACACCACCAACCACACACACCAACCTTACACCACCAACCCACACAACCAGCCCTACACCACCAACCACACACCACCAACCTACACCACCAGCCCTACACCACCAACCTTACACCACCAACCCAACACCACCAACCTACACCACCAACCTTACACCACCAACCTTACACCACCACCCTACACAACCAACCTACACCACTAACCTTACACCACCAGCCTTACACCAACAACCTTACACCACCAACCTACACCACCAACCTTCCACCACCAACCTACACCACCAACTTACACCACCAACCTTACACCACCAACCTTACACCACCAGCCCTACACCACCAACCTTACACCACCAACCTTACACCACCAACTCCACACCACCAACCTACACCACCAGCCCTACACCAACTAACCTTACACCACCAGCCCTAACACCACCAACCTTACACCACCAACCTACACACCACCAACCTTACACCACCACTCCTTACACCACCAACCTTACAC